GATGTCCGAAGGATGAACGGCGCATTTCGCCGAGGACACTCACCGGGAGTGCTCCACCATCAGAGAGGAGATCTCGATAGCGTAATATCGCGCGGCTACTTTTCTTCGATCGCACTTCCCGGGGTGCTTTAGTACGCTTTTCCGTCCGCGTGTCCACGTATGTGTGCGTGCCCCAACGTACATATGTACACAAGTGCGCGTGTTTACGCGCGCTACATCGCACGATGGACCGAGCCACTCTCTCTCTCTCTCTCTTTCCCTCCCTCTCCCTCGATAGACGCGGATGCGAGCCGGGATGGAATTTAAAGCCGTCGCGATACGACGTAGCCGTAAAACGCTTTTATCCAGCGATATTTGCAGTGGATTCTCAGGAGCGCGTATCTCGAGGGAGCGTCGTCGATGATCGGCGTGAGAAAGGCGCGGTTTAAAGGGAGAGAGGGTCAGCCTCGGGTCTCTCGTTTTGCCTCGCCTCGTCTCGCCTCACCTCGTCTAGCCTCGCTTCGCCGATATTATCGCCGCTCGTGGCACGCCGGATTACGTTTAATACTCGGTCGTTTATTAAAAGATCGTTCCTTTGTTCGCGCGCCGTGAAACACGAGCGGAGGAACGGGAGCCGTGTCTAAGGTAGGCCGCTGTCTCGTCGTGACGCGCCTGAACGTTCGCGCGAAATTAATTTCCCTGACGAGAAAGAAGAAGGCGAGAGCCGGGATTTAATACGACACCGGTGGCGCGTGGGGAAGTACCGAACGTCTCGAAGATGCTTTATGAAACGGGACATTTGTTCCAATCGAGCTACAGAGTTGCGAATGGCGATCTATCGTGCTGCCTCTTACGATACATCGTTCTAAGGATAACGGTATATGAAGGATAGCACGTATACGGATCTCTTTTCATTATTATCACGCGAATTATGGAGTATATATTTTTGACAGATTTTTAAAAAATAATCGAAATAAATAAATAAGCTAAAAAAATATTAAAAATGTCATATCATAAGATTTCTTTAAAAATTTTTTGACAGACTGGAAATTCATTCCATGCTCTTGATCAGATTAACCCTGAACACTTATCTGTTTTGTATAAGATGATGTCGTTGGACTCTAATTATTAATAACATCTTAATCTATATATATATATATATGTGTGTGTGTGTGTGTGTGTGTGTGTGTGTGTATGTGTTTGTGTGTGTGTATATAAAATAGAATGTCTGTCTGTTCTCTATGCACTCCTAAACTCTTTGACCGATCTGGATCAAATTTTGCATAGTTATTCTCTACAGAAAATATAGGTTGTGTAACACATGGATACCCCACCTTACTCTATCTATTCCTGATTTCATCTCCATGATATTTTGTAATAAGCTAGGCAACGCCGGACAGTTTTAGCTGATTATTAACAATCCTTATTATCAAAAATTGATTATTATATCAAAAAGAAAAAGAGAGATCAAGTATCTTCTCTTTTTTTTGTAGAAATATAAAATTTCATCGAGAGAGCACGTTTCGTGCCTGAACGTACATTCTTTATGAGTTCTTGAACGCACCTAATTACATCCGACATCGCGCAGATTGAAACTGGTAAGTTCGCTATTGTTTCGGTAATTCTCGAAAACGAATTCTCTATGATGCAGGGATTCAACTCTGTCTATTGTGACATTGACGACGTTAAAACGAAGATTCTCGCGAAATTGTCGAACATCACCGTCACCGGGAGGAGCAACGAAGTTAGGAGCGACACGCACTTCGTGTCGCCTATCGCTACTACGAGAGAGGGGAAATCCTCGCCAAGCGTTTGCGTCTCTCGCTTCCGTCGATGACGTTTACGCTAATCCGCCGATTGCTCGCCGCGTTTTCGGCGATTAATGCCGGCGCGGACGGTCGTCCATGCGCGACAAATCGGCGATTACGCGTCGGACTTTCGTATGTTAAGCGTGTTTACAAGCCTAGGGACCGGGTCGCGCTCTCCCGTGCCGGTACTACGCGAAAATCCGCGTCGGATATTTGTCGATGCAGCGAACCCGCTTGTAATGCAGCCGAAAATACATATCGGATATCCGAGCGAGGCGAATACGGCGATCGTTAACGGTTCGCGCCGAACTTGGCAATTTGGCGTGTTCTAGGCGCGAACACGTCGCGCATACATATTCAGCAGCCTAATAATTAGGAGTTAATACACCGTGGCGGCATTATTTCAATTTAATGCGACCGCCGCAAAATCGTATTTCGCCGCGAAATCGCCATAAAGTAATCCGCGTCTCCCTCCACGCCCTTCTCTCCCCTCTCCTCTTCCCTCCTCTCGCCCTCCTCGACGCCCCGCGTCGCGCCGCGCTATTGAACGTTGCATTATATCGTGCTCCACTCGTTCACCACTCATCCCAGGCTCGATTCGACAGTCCCTCTTACAAATAACAGCGCGACCGCACAACGGAAGCGGTCCGGCAAAATATTGGGCGGCGCTTTCAGTGCGCGCCGTGTGTTCCATGTGTCGTGTTACATCCGCAAATCCGCGATCAAGATTTCATTAGGACACGGCTGAAACCGGGCGAATCGATCGTCGCGCGCGACGCGACGCAACATAACGTGACACGTTTTTCCCCGATGAATCCTCTCATCCTCGGTCCCGCACTCGTACGATCATTTTTGTCATATTCGTTCTATTAGGACATTTATTTCCGCGGAACGCGCGCAGAATGCATCTCGCAAATACGAGCAGAAAACATCGGGAAACAGCATTTTAAAAGTATTACGACGCCTCTCTCATTCCTCTAAAAGCTAGAACAACAACGGTAAATACAAACTTTTTCTATGAAAAAATAGATCCGCGCGCGCGCGCGTGTCGCGCGCGTCTACAGAGAGGTAAATAGAAATATCCGCGTTACGAGAGGAGAGAAATTGTTATTTACGACGGAGCTCACGTTCACACTAGAGCGCGAAACACGCATGGATATACATTAAACATACGGCCGAGCAACACACCGTCACACTTCGTCGTCGTCGTCGTCGTCGTATGTTCGCGCGCGCGCCCGCTCGCTCGTGCAACAATGGGGAGGATTTCGTTTTTGCGCCCGGCAATGAATACACCGGCGCGCAAAAACAAGCTGTTAGATCCGCGGGCGATTATATGTACCAACGCGCGCGGCTGCGAGCAAAACGCGAACAGGAGCGAGTGCATTATTCGGGCGCGGGTGGCGGGCGGCCACTCCAGGACGAGGGCCCTCGTGTCACTTGTACGTTTCGCGCGTGGAAACCGCGCGAGGACGGGTCATAACACGCTGTACGTTTTGTCGTGCCTCCCACCGTTAATGATCGCGTACGAGACCATAGCTGGATGCTGGATATGTTGTTGGGGTCTTTCGCGTCGTCGGGGTGGGCCAGAAGGGTGCAACGTCAAGCGTGCGCGCGCGCACACGCCAGGCAACGCGACACCGTGCACTCGCGGTACGTAGGAAGAACGGCGAGAATTACGCTGTCGACGTTGTTTCGCGAAACGTACGGTGACGCGCGCAGGAAACGACGATTAAACGCAGCTTTCGAGCCTGCTTTGCGGTGGGAATTCGTCGCTTCGCGATGAACTCATCGCCGCGACGCCGCGTTCCTCATATTTTCGCCGTTCATTTATATTTAGGCATTATTTCGCGCCCAGCCGACGAAAGTTGCCGAGGAACCGCGTCCTCGCGTATTTGATTACGTACCTGACGCGGCGTTGCATTCGGAGCCGCAGTCGGGTGTGCGCGCGACATACGTGCGATAATAGTTATTACCCTATCTTCCTTCCTCGTTCGTGTCTGCGGGCACAGGGATGTGGATGGGTGGAAAGGGATGAGACGAGGGAAAGGGGTGATGGAGAACGTGGAGTAGGCCGTGGTGCGCGATGATATCCGGGCGATACAGCACGGCAGAGCAGCCGCGGAAAGGTAATCAACGCCGACTGAAATTTCACCAGGGCGGTAAAATCTTTCGTGGTAACATTAAACCGGCAAAACGAGGAGGATCCTTTTCCCTTCATTGCGGCCGAGGGAGGGGGGAGGGAGGGAAGAAGGGGAGGCAGGGGGAAGGAGACAGAGAGAGAGAGAGAGAAGCAGGCAAGGAAGGTCGTAATCAGACGACTCTCCGTGAGGACGAAGGAGACGACGTAGCAGAGAGCAATTTTCCTCGGAGAAACCCGCTTGCACCCGTCGCCTTATTACTCTTCCGTCTCTTCCTTCTCTTCTTCCTCCAGTCTCCACCACCCCCTCGTCCGCGTGGCGGGACGAGAAATCCTTCCCATCCACTCGAATCTTCTTCCTTCCGCGCGCATCGGGGATCCTTATTGCTTCCTGCCGGCCGACGCTTGGCTAGCAAACGACAGGGATATCCTGCCGACCTACCTCCTACCTGGCCAGTCACCGGAATCTCGACGTCCTTTTGCCTGTCGATAGAGTGTTTTAAAGCGCCAGCTGATTTTTACGACGGAGGAAGGAAGAGAGTTTCCTTTCGCCACTACGGCGGCCTTTCCTCGCGCTTCGTCGACGCGCTTTCCCGCCGTCGTTTTCACGGATACCCCCTCGCCGCGCACTTCGATCGATAGTTCGAAGGGTTCGACGCACGTACCTTCGTATGTTTTCGGTGATTTTCGCGCTGATACTGTCACGACACGTCGCGCAGAATTTCTCTTCTGCTTTTTTGTGTTCCATAATTCTTCTCTATTTTGTTCTACTAGAAGTGTTTAACTCTCGTGGATATACTTGAGATATCAAGTATATCTTCGTGGATATACTTGAAATAAATATTTAAAGTGTGGATATCGAAAAACATTCAAAATATATCAAGTCAATTCGCATAAAAATACAGATATCACTGACATACTAGACCAGATAAGGTCTCATGGCAAGAATACAAGGGGAAAAATTGTTCCTTGTTCGTTCTCTCTCTCTCTCTCTCTCTTTCTCTCTCATCCTCAAATACACGAAATCATTCTCACTCCCCACTAACAAATTATACAGTTAGACTTGAAGTACTCACCCTCAATGAGTTGGTCCAACATCGCGTAGATGTGGGAAGTAGCCTCGTCGGTCATCACCCAGCCGCCTGTGGTCATCTCCAGTCGACCGTCCTTGACCAGTCTCTTTACCACCATCTTCTTCGTCGGATGAGCGCTGAAAATCCAACGATTGACGAATGAATGAAGTGAGGCTCACGCAGAGCTTACGAGCTCGTTGGACTACCATACGAATAATCACGTTCCCGCACCATTACAATCAATCCCGGCACGATTTGGATCAGCCAGCGGATTTATTCATTGCCGCGCGTGACGCGCCTTCCCCACCGTTCTTTCTATTTCTTTTTTATTTATACCCATCGCGCAACTCGGGTTGCAAATCATATTTATCGCCGGCGCATTTCGGCCGGCCTGGATTTACGTGATTTGTGCGTCCGAGTGTTATGTACGACCTACATAACCTTCCCCATTCGAAGGTGGTTTCCACATTACGTCGTTTATGTCGGCCATAAAGCCGCCACGGATTCCACCTGCTATACGTCTCTTATTCTCTATATCTATATATCCCGTTTCTCGCTCTCTCTCTCTCTCTCTCTCTCTCTCTCTCTCTCTCTCTCTCTCTCT